CAACGAAAGCCATTTGAGGGCATTGCACTGTGTGACTTACTTCCTCCCCCCGGTACAAAGCGATCGGGGTTTTTCAGCATAAATGGCAGGGCAGCGGCATCTTTTTGATATCTGAGTTACTTGTGGAAGGCATAGTCGTCTGGTCCTGTAGCCATGCAACTTGCAATTTTTTATTTTAGTTGTTTCGCCCAATTACCACCAGCCTGTTGTCGTTTTGCTCCCGAATTCTTGAAATAACAGAGGGGATCAGTCTTAGGCGGCTATGTTCACAAGAAGACATATTCGGATGCATTTTGTGTTTCTCATCCCTTTGCTGCTGCTCTTCAGAGACCGAGCATAGCATGTGGGGAGAAGTGGGAATCATCAGTACAGCCTCCTACCTATCGGTTTATGAGGTAAATATAAATGAAATCCTGAATTTACTTTGGTCGCATTGACTTAACTACGAGGGAGTTTTGTTTTAGGATTGCGATTAACACGAAGAGTTATTGATTTTGAGAGCCCTGTTGTTGTTGATATCGTAACACATGAAATACATTTTCTAGGAAGGAAAAAGGACATCAGAAGTGATAGCGACAAAAAAATGGAGAAGATCAGGGATGATGCAAGAGAGGATATGTAAGTTTTTATCGCTAAAATGCCGGGGTTATTTGGGACAATCCACAGTGCCTGCATCGTCTGGTGGTCAACCTCCTGGCGAATCTTACGCTCGTCTCGTCTGCAGGAGAATTAACTAGTTTAGACGCGTTCAGTGTGGTATATTCTTGCAAAACTGCGTTGGACCGCGGAAAAACGACCGGACTTCATGCAAAAAATGAGTAATCATGCACCTGGATTTCCGTACGGCTCTGTAATGTACCACCTTCATCCCAACTGACGCCCTTCCTCCTACATGCCAGAAGGGGCCAAAGCACGGCCAATATGAGCCCATAGACTGTTCGGATTTTCAGATGTTAAATGAGTTTCAAATTTCAACAGTTTTTTTTGTCTGGTAGCACACCGAGTTTGAGTCTCCTGGCGAATCTTACGAACTTTATTTTTGGTAAAACCGATGTGGAGCTCGCCGAATTTCAGCCAGCTATGTTTGCCGTTTGTTTTGTTTCTGAGCTGCTTGTTTTTTTGGTTTGGTGCCCACTACATGTCTAAAATTTGTCTATAGGTCATTTTTTCGCGCGTACCACACAGTACTAAGCGATGAGTAATAGCAAAACAAACAAAATTTGTAGTACTTTTTTTAAAATATTGGCTAGAATTTTCAGAGTTGAACCAAAGCAAGAGTTGGACAGATTTGGCGAGTATTTGCGCGGTGATTACGATAAAAAAGAGGAACCGACGATCGAAAAAGAGAAGCCCAATTTTGAGCCAAGTGGAAAATTGGCAGAAGATACAAATACATTTCGAGGGGTTGTGATCAAATACAACGAACCACCGGATGCACATATGCCAAAAATACGATGGAGACTTTACCCTTTTAAGGTTATAATTTCTTTTTTACTGAGCAACATCTCTGTGCCGTCGAGAATCCACACCGGTGTAGATTTGGCCGATTAAAGATTAAACCTACCAGAGGTTTTATACCAGTGAAAATTGCGCTGCTAGCAATAGACTGGGGGCTTTACGTCGATAGTCGAGCCAGTAGCAACCGTCGTTTGAAAAACCGCAAGAGATTTTTAGGTAATATTGGCTAGCAACTTCTTCACTTACCCCGATCGGTGCTTCATTATTTGGTGCTCAGCCTCTAGGCAATCTTAGAGTTCGTCTAGTCCCTTGAAAAGATTACCAA